ATATAAGTTAATTGATTTGTTTTTTAAAGAAGAAATAGAAACTTTCTTATTATTGCATCTTTGAGTCACTTTATGTTTAAAACAATTAAAGTATTTTCCGTGTCTCCCAATGCACAGCATTTTTTTATTTTTGCAGGACAAATGCGTCTTGATGTGGAAATTCAAAGATGCCGCTTCCTTTATTTTGCATCTATAGATTATATGAATTAATATGCATTTAACTGAATCAATGTCGTGAATGTTTTCACTGTAATAACCTGAAAGAAAAGAAAATGAGCATCCATTAAAAGCTGGATACAACCTCGTCCCACCACCTCGTCTCCAACCTGCCACTGCTCGTTGGTAAACTCCGCTCCACCTCCACATTACCCAGAGGCCAACCCAGGGGGCGCAATTATTCAGGCCTCTGTTCATCAGAGTAGAAGAAATTAGCCTCTTCTCCTGAACCAAGACCTTCTAACCTGCACCAGGACCTCGGGCGGCCTGTCTGACTGTCGTGACCCCCTGTGACTTCCCTCTCCAGACCTTGAGTTTTCCATACATATGAGCCCGAGCTGGCCGGAGCCATGCTTGGCTGCCATACGGGTTCCCCCATCTGCCCCGGTTGGCGAATTGGGGCTGGGGAGCTGCAGGCTATAAAACCCCCCCCTCACACACACACACCTCCACTACACCTCCTGGGAGCGTTTGTAACAATCCAAGTCTTTGGTGACGAGCAGCCGAGCCGAGATGTGTCGGCCTCCGTCGCCTTAAAAGCTGTGATTACAAAAGCAATATTGGAAATTGAATTTCCTGGAAGTCTACATTTCAAAGTTTTCAAATCAACCGCGGGTCAATATCTAAACGAGCAATTATGGAAAAGAAGACAGTCGTGTAATAAATGTTATTATGACAGAGTGTGTTCTCTCTTAGGGCAAAGAATAAGAGCTTCTCTTCCTCCCTTTTTTTTTATTCTGCACTTCCTTTTTCCTGTAATTTGCTCTTTTCATCATTAAAATCATTTTTGAGTTACAGGTGATTCAGTTTCTCATGTCCGTGCTGTCACACCCTCCTCTCTCACCCTCTCCATCCCCTCCCCGCCTCACCTGCTGTCTGTCTTTGGCTCTTTCCATCTTCCATTTCATCTATTCAGGCCGGGCAGCGGCGGATAATGAGGTCTGTGGCCCGGCACTGTGCTGCCCCGGCTCGCTGAGCACAGTCTCAACACTTTGCAGTTGCATCACAAAGTCTTACAGGAACCGTCTCTGCTGTTGTGAAGGGCTCCACCGGGAAACAGGTTTGAAAATAATACATTAAGCAAAATGTAGACTGTAAATAAAAATGGATGATGCATCTCCACTTGCTCTCGCTGTCCAGAACTGAAGCCCGAAACATCACGGGTACGAACTCGGCCATCTTGAAATGAGGACGTCACTCTGGAGCTGGAGTCTGGACGGAGCGATGGGGGATACGCCCACTCAACCAATTGTGAGTCAGTCTCCGCTGTCAATCAAAATGTTTCACACGGTTGAAAGCGTCAAATAACTTTTTAAAAACATCTCAGAAACGAAAAACTGAAATGAAATATTAAATTCTTAACTCAAACACTGACAAAAAGCGAGCTGCCTTTATCTCGGCCTCATGAAAAAGTTTTCAGATTAGATTTGGATTTTTTTTTTTTTTTAAATCATTAAAACGGGACCTTAACTCACAATTTTAATTTCTCAAACACAATCTGCAATGTACTCTACATAAATGGTTCTTTAATGCTGCCCACAGATTCGGATTCAATCATGAGATATGTGGATTTTCAAATTAAAGTCTTACACAGTGTATATGTAACTCTTAATGTAAATACAGAGGCTCAGCAAACACAAGTGGATCAGTTCTTTCAAACGGACGATATCAGGAGGATTCAATTTGAGCAGTTATAGGTCTTTGTCTTATTTCATATAATGAGTGAATACCCGTCTTACAGCTGCTACTTTCGCTCCGCGGCGTCCGTCCTCGCAGTTCATTCTGTGGTCGCTATCTCTCCGTTATGACAGGCCTCTTACCATGTGACCGCAGATACCTGAGAGCCGAGGGCCTTATCGTGGCGACGGCCAAATGAGGCACAGGTGGAAACGATGGCTTTTTCTTTATCTGTGGCCTCGCTCCCTCGCCAGGCCACCGTTTCATCAGGTCACTGTGTACATTCGCAAGGGTAAACTGATTCTATTGAACCGGTCCACAACCTCGCCTCACCTGGGCTTTCTGGCTCCAAATGGGCTTTAGCCCTGTTTCTATTTTCTCCCCTCATTTCCCATCCATTCCTCCCTCCCTTCCCCGTGCCTCTTCCCCTCGCTCCTCGCCCTTTTCCCCGGAAAGAAAAACCGATCAACACTGTGCGCTGGAAGAGGGAGTGACATACAGCGAGAAAGATTAAATCCAAGTTTCTTTCATCCATGAACGCTTTCATCTTTTTTTTTTTTACAAACAGAGGGAATTATCAGCGCCGCGACCGACACAGGCTTTTGACGAGGGTGATGGTGCGCAGGAAGGGAGGAGTGGGAAATGAAGAGGAGGTGGGACGTTAGGTGGAGAGGGGAATCCACTTCCCATGTGTCCTCAGTTTATCTGCCGAGGTTCAGGGGGTGACGGCCTCTTTGTCTCTTCTTACTGGTTCTTACCTTAAGAGCGTTTTGTTCCAGAACACCTGCCTGAGAGTCGCAGCCGTCGCCGCGTCTCAATCCGACTATAAAAGAGTCAAAACAGGCGTTGGAGAAGGCGTCGGCTTCACCAGTCGAGTTGCTGGTGCTAAAGGAACGGCGCTAATCCACCCTTCCAAAAATGAAACCAAAACTAAATAGATGATTTTTTTTTTCTTCTCCCTTCTGTGATACTTGGCATGATGTCTAATCTCCGCTGTTCTGAGTGTTTTTTCATTAAATTTGTGTCAGGACTAATTTCGAGGGGAATGAATACAGATGTCAGGATGCCATCGAATCCCATCGCGGGGCCTTTAATGAGATAACAGGCTTTAGTTAAAGAATTAGCGCTATGGAGAGAGGAAAAAAAAAAAAAAGAATGAGATTAGTTCAATGGGATGTGGATACGGAGTGGAACGGGAGAAGGAGAGACCAGAGAGTCATATCAGACCTGCCCTGCCAAATCACAAATCTATTTCCGACTCTGGTATTAATTATCAAAATAAAGCCGCTGTTGCATATTGATTCATCGGGGTGCGCACTTGTATTATCTCCTATTAAGCAGGAAAAAAGGAGAGATTATATGAAGCCTTCAGGGGCGTTTTATGGATCCTGTGAGACTGTTAAACCATGTCACGGACTCTAGAGCAACAAGACAAGCTCCCTGTGTTTATAAGTGTGTGTGTGTGTGTGTGTGTGTGCCCTGATGCTGCCTCTTATGTGGGCTCAAATGCATCCTTAAGCTTTAAATTTGATTATTCTGGAGAACATTTTTCAATTAGCGCTACACAGTCATGGCCTCGGATATATTTCTGTGTGTCTGAGTGCAAACACGTGCTTTTGTGTGAGAGACATGAGTGCAGACAGGGATATTTAAAGCTCAGTGAGGCGGCCGTAGGTGGGAATAAGTTGTCAGTTTATTAGGAACACCTAGTTTTAAGTAACGCAGTCTCCCAATTGCTTTGGGAAGATGATGAACTGGAGTTTTCAAAGGGTCCTCAACCAAACCTGCATGTTATATATCTCACTCAAGAGCCCGA